ATTTTGAAGAAAGTTAAAGTAACACCGTTTGCAGTGGTCCAAAGTTATTCTGCATTTACTGTATGTATTCTGAACATCCTGATTCACCATAGGCACATTTCACAATTTTCAGAGACCAGTTGTTTGCCATCATGTCAATTCTAACAACAACTAGCATGATAACAGTGCACTTCCTGATTCCTGGACAGCAGACAGCACAGAGCGGTCTCATTTTGACTTCAAGAGCTGCTTTTACTATACACCACAGAGCAATATAGATTTTGCTCAATGTTACTAACAAGACAGTAGATAGATTTGCTCCACACTTATAAGAGATAGAAAATTGAACAATGTAATACTTCCTGGACATAGACACATGGCACATACAACTCACATGAAGCCTCCTGCAGCCACAGTAAAACACAATCAAACACAGACAGATTGGTGGAAGCCTGAGCAGAGAGAGGCTCCATCTGTCCTTGTCTCATAGTGAATGAGGAAGGGTCTCTGCTGAATGAAGGCGGCCATTAAAATCCCTTGTAAACTCATTATAGTCTGGTCCTGTCCAATATCCAGAGCCACACATAACACTGATGTAGAGCCCCACGCATCCATAAATGCATGAAGACAGTCTCATGTCAGATACTGTCTCTAGATGGGCTACAGACACAACACTAGAGGTAATGCAAGTCCATATATTGATAAATGGTGGAAACACATATCAAAATAGCTCTTGATAGAAACTATTATGCATTTGTTTTTAATTGCAAAAAACATTGAACATGATGCCCAAATTATTTATCTTATAATTTGGTGTTTTGGTCATCAAAATAAGACATGAGTTTTGCATTTGAATCCTCACTATCTAAACCCCACACCTGCAGCTCCGTGAGTGAATTCTGGAGGTTTCAAGCATAAAACATGGCCTTTCTGTAAACTGGTTAGTGCACTGGCAATCCAGGCTCAGTTGTGATTGTTGTACTTTTCAAAACTGCAAGAGGCTATATACAGTTGAGTCTCATCAACTGTACTTGAAACATGGTTTCCCAAGTGCAAATAAAGAGCATAAGGGGAAAAAAAAAAAAAAAAAAAGGCAGAAAAAGACTTTACAAATGAAACGAATCTCAGTTTGATATTGAGGACAAACATAGATACAATAGGATACTGTAAAACAGAGCATGGTGACAAAAATGCCTTAATAATACATCATAGAGCTTTTCTTGGATGTGTATCATTAAATAATACATAACAATCTGTTTATATTACATAAGACTATCCATTCCCTTAAAGCATCTCCTCCACCAGAACTCTTTCATAGTTTGATTTTCACATACATTTCCATGGCCTGAATCTTTCAGAAGTGTTTGTGATCAGTGCTTTGGGCAAAGTTTTTGACAGAAATCCTAATTAGCTTAGTGAGTGCAAACTTTATACACAAAAACATGTTTGACTCTTAAAACAGTATCTCCTTTCTGTAACTTTGAACAAATTGTCACGGGTAGCACTGATGCAGAAGGGAGATTTGAATGTTGTGTTACAGTGAGTGAGTGAGTGAGTGAGTGTGTGTGTGTGTGTGTGTGTGTGGTGTGTGTGTATGTGGGTGTGTGTGCATGTGGGTGGGTGTGCATGTGTGTGTGTGTGTGTGTGTGTGTGTGTGAAGCTCTCTGATTAAAGCCTGTCAAAAAGACCAGTCTTTGTGGGCTCTGATCTGTCACTGGGAAATATAACTATTTCTTCTCCACTTCTACTGACAGAACCATTCATTCAGAACTTTTCTATCTGCCAAAAAGTTCAAAATGGACAAACTAATCAAAAAAAAAAAAAAAAAAGTGCTGGGTTAGATACTTTTACATCTTTACTGCTTGCAGATTGATTTTGGTATTTTTACTTTTAAGGTCATTGATATCGAGTTATTTTAAGAAATGTGTTTATTACAGTTCAACCAAACTCTGCTAACAAGTAATTAAAACATCATTTGAATTATTGTTAATTACTGCTGCTTAAAATGCACGGCACTTTAATTTGCAGTTTTATAATTATGTGCCATTTGGCTTAGGAGTGCAGTAAATCTCCCCACCATGTTTCTTAAATAATTCATCTGTTTTATTACTAACTCGTTTCTCCCTAAAACTGCAATTTCCTTTAACTGCAAAATTTTTCAATACTTCTCTTTGAATCACTTATTTATAATGGGCAAGACCAACTCACCGCATCAGCTTTTCTGACATTGATTAATGTTATAAGCTTATTCACTGTATAATTATTCCCAGCAGGAAATTTGGTATTAAAGTAAGGGGGAAGTGTTGTTTGTTTCCCTTCCAAAGAAAATCTCCTATAGAGTTTTCAGTAACATGTGCCTTTCATGGATCAGTAGTTAAAGGGCTTATATCACTCTATTTTCTGATCTATGTTAAGATGTTGTTTCCTCATCAAAAACATACCTGGAGTTCTGTTTTTTTTTTTTTTCACAATTCACAAAAACTGCATATTTAGCCTGAGTTCTTCTCTAGAACAGAAAACACTCCACCTTGTGATGTCATGTGTAAAACAAGATATGCTCCACTGTGTTTGTAAAGTCCTTACACTTTCACTAGAATCATTTGGATAATTTCAGCCCTTGAATTATCAATTTGCACCAAAGCGAAACAGTACATAAGCACAGCAGCACAGGATACGAGCAGCAAACGTGCAACTTTGGCTTTCCATTTTAACCACCAAAGTTGTCATACGCACCTCCAGCGGGCATCATGCTGCTACGCTCTGCTTAAAATATGGGGATTTCTAATTTTGCCTTGTCAGCAGAGCGTCTCCAGGATTATTAGCAGGGGCAAAACAGGAAATGGGCATGCGGTGTCAAAATAAACTTCTGTTGCCCTTTCAAAATACATTCTCTAAAACCACCACAGTCGCATAAACACCTTGCATTGCATCAGGAGCTTGGGGGAATGACTTGTAACAGACTATGTAAATTTTACAGCTGTGGAGGATAAATATAAAACACTTTATGACATCAGACAGTGACTTTACAAGAAGGACTTCTGACAGAAGTGCAGAAAACCAAACTTAATGGTGAGTAGCTTAATTAATGTGAGCACCGCAGATATGGCTCGTTATTGCTGCAAAGCGTTGTCTCTCTTGATGTCAATTTTTGTATTGTGATTTTAAAAAATAGTTCATCCAATCAACACTGAATAGATGAGCAGTGTGAAAAGTTTTGTGTTTAAAAGTGAGAATACACAGAGGCTGATGTCACAGGACCAGTTATGCAGCTCCTTCCGACGTAACATGCTGCTGACGCTCCTGGTGCAAATTCCGGGTAAAAGTAAAAGGTAGCTGTTAACTTGAAAACTACCACATGACATCACAAGCTGTACCTGATTTTTAAAAACAGAACTAGTTAATTTAAGTTAATTAATTAAAGTAGTTAATTTTAGTGGTCAAAGTTATTCCTCACTTACACTGTACATTCTGAGCATTCTAATTATTCATAGCGATGGGTTTATAAGTGCTTCTTACAGCTTTCAGAGTACAAGGCAGCGTTTGTTGTCACAATAATGCTAGCATGTTAAACACACACCTCCTGATTTTCTGACAGTAAAGGGCTTCATAATAAAGATGTAGACCATATAGAGCAGACTTATTTTGATCTTTTGCAATACTTGAGCAAAGCACAAAATAGCTCAAATAGATGGGAAAAAATTGGGCTCTTTTAATAATTGGCAATGTTACATATTCCCAGGGCACCTAAAGGCAGCTGCCCAGATAATGCAATAAACTGTAATAGTAATACTGGTAACATTGTGATATTGCATTATCAAAATTCACAATATGGAATAAAGAAGTCCCTGAACAAAAATACACCATTTTTACACCACGCATAAACAAGACAACAATACTTGGTTTCAATGCATCCATCTCCAACATCAGCAATATATATCCAACAGGACAATGTACCTATAATCATTTAACTATGAGGTTAAAGCAATAATAACATTGTGACTGGACTCAGTAGTTGTTCCTGGGTAAAGGCCAGTATGAATAGAATTATCACACTACATTTGGCACTTAATCAGACGCATAGACTGTAGACATGTTAGATATTCTAATTACCCAGTGGAGTGGAGCATAAGAAACCCTTTCTTTTCTGAACAGAATAGTAGGAAGAGAAAAGTAGTCCTACATAGGGCTGTGCGATTAATCATATTTTAATCGAGATTGAAATTCAGTTGTTTCTAGCTTGAGTCTTTATAATAGACCAGTAAAAGCATTTGGTTTGGAGCTGAGTTTGTGCTAAGTGCTTGTATTGTTGTTAAAGGTGCACTCTGTAACTTTTTGGTTGGGGGTCTATCACCTGCTTGTCTTTATATGTCATTGCTTTGCCTGGAATGTTCCACAGTCTGACATTAATCGGTTCTACCTTACATTTATTAAATTATAGGTGGTTTAATAGCTCAAAATACAAAGCAAAACAGGCATTCTGACTGTGAGCGGGGCTGCCTTTCCATACCTGATCTGTAACTTAGTCTATTTTGCTTACTATGACGATGGAAAGGTTTAATTCCCATACTGTGAAACATTCCAGACTAAGCAATAATTTCTCCATGTAAAAAAAGCATTTGACGAACCCTTCACCAGAAAAATAACACAATGCACCTTGAAGTAATTTGTATTGTACTTAAGCACTTATTTAATGTAGTACTATGTTATATATTTCATCTGCTACTTGCTCTGATCTTTCAAACTGTCCTCCTCAGATCTCAGTGTAAACTCTGCTTCCAGCTGATGCTCTGTTGCTACTATTAGTAATAAAGTCAACAAGATGATGTCAACATTACAGCTGGTCGTGGATGACTCATGGATCAGTATGTGCGAGGGTCAGTGATTTTATCGACTCCAGTCTTGTTTTTCTCCTGGAAACGTGTCTGTTTTTCACTGACTGACTACAGCAAACCCATTTCTGATTCACTATTGGTATTTTTCTTTTTACACAACAGGCTTTCACCTTGAGATACAGCCCGCCTTTATTTTGAATCAATACAATCTCATTTGAGAGCTGCAATTATTTTTCAGTACAAACAGGGAAAACAGAAGCTATTGTGCTTTAAACTGACAGCTTTTGTAAACAAATCATTAATGCTGTTTTAATTGTCTGAAACCTTATCCTCAAATTGGCTCTGTCAATTACCACTACAATGCACCACAATGAAATTTAATTGTTGTTCAAATAAATACATAAACATGAAAATACTGTCAGCCACTTTGGTTATTGTATTTTTAATTTTTAAAAATACCTCTGTTTACATGCAAAACCATACAGACTCGTACAGAAATGACAAAAAATTCTGCATCCATATTTGTAACATGTCCAACTTTTCAATATTCTGTGGACACTGCAGATACTGTTTCATTTTCATGAACCTTAATACAAATGAAACATATTTAATTAACTATAACACAACTCATGAAGTGTACTCCCTCACTGACCCTGTTGGTGTTTTTGTATGGGTCTCAACAAAAGGAGGCTCAGTGATTGGCTGACCACAGATATGCCATTCATTTCAAAAACCTACATTATTCAATGGCTGGACATTATATGGAAGCTCACCACTCCAGCTCCTGAAGCAAACAGAGCCCTATTAGATTTATGTCCTCAAAGCCACAGAGTACCCATGCCTAAATAAAGACTTCAGTTTCTCCTGCTGTGTGTGTCTGTATACAAAAATGTTCAATAAAACTATCTGCGCCCAAAGTAAAAACAGTCCCTGCTAAAATAAAACAACTGCCCTCTAGTGCCCTCAATCAAACTGTCCTGAAGCAATGAAATTACTACCCCTTGTGTCCAATCAGAAGAACTGAATGAAGGAAGCCTCCACCCTGCTCACCTGGAGTGTGTGAGCTCAAACTGGTCCTCACTTCTCATTTATTATCACACCCTGAAGAAGTCACAAGTTTCCTGCCCTCCCACAAAGGCTTTTTAATATTTCCTGACTAACTGGGTGCCTGGTATTTTTCTTCATTTCAATATTCTTTTACAAAAGTTCACTTTTGAATAGGAACAAGGACCAAAGGGGCTCTATTTCTACCCCCATCACTTCCAGACGGACTGAAGAATGGAAAAATCTTCTCCTTGAAGTTACAGTGATCAAAGGTGTAAAACAAAACCCTGGCATCTGCATCATAAAAAGAAACTTTCCCCTTCTCATAATCTACAAAAACTCCAATCGTCTCCACTTTGTTTCTAACTTTGACACTGACAGGTGGAGTGGCGTTGGCTGTAAACTGTCCGTTCCGTAACCACATGGTCCAGAATCCGTTCCTGGGACTCAGCTTGACATCTCCACTTCTGTTGATGGACTCGATGGCCACTCCCACATCCCACTGCGTCTTGTCTTTGACCTGAACTTCATAGTAGAACTTCCCACTGGAGAAACCTTGCTTGGCTAACACATTGAGGACGTGAGTGAATCTTGTTGGATTACTGGGGACACTTCTTCGTCTCTCGCTCCAGGACGCTTCCTTACCATCCTCAGAAATGATAAGGGACGAGTGAGCTGTCTCCGGATCAAATGAGATATCAGCTGCAAACGTCTTCAGTGTTTTCAAATCTGGATCACACAACATGCGTAGTTCTTTAGTCACTGTAGCGGTCAGGCTGGATAACGCTTCTTTTACTTCAAATTTCTCATTTTTGATTTGCACAGCTGACCAGTCTTTGAGCTTTGGTTGAGGGACTATCAGCGGGATTAGATTCTCAAGATTTTTAAACGGGTCATTGGACATTGTAAAGTTGAGATCATTGCTTTTCTTAGATAGATCCTCAATTTCCTCTTCAAGTTCTTTAATAAATTCTTTCCCCTCAGTTTCAATTTTAATCTGCTTTGACTTTACCACCATGGCTAGTTCTGCTTGGCTTTTTTTCATTAATTCCAACAGATGAAAAATCACGCACTCACTGTCGGACACCGCCTTGGCCGCCTTGTTTCTGCTTGACTCCATCGACTCTTGAATCTCACGGACCTTCTGCTGACGTTCCTCCACCCATTGGTCCATCCTGATCTTCTCCATGTCCAGCTGAGCCTTCTTGAAGTCAGCCTCCTCTAAAATTGATACAGTTTCATGTCTTCTGTGGTCCATCCGGGTGCACTCTTCACATACAAACATTTGTTCATCTCTGCAGAACATCTCGAGAGGCTGGTGGTGAGTCTTGCACATGCGTTCTTCCAAATTGTCAGTGGGTTCAATGAGCTTGTGGGTTTTCAAATTTGGAATTCGGCGATGGGGCTCCAAGTGAGTTTCACAAAGGGACACAAAACAAATCAAACAAGATTTCAGTGCTGGGGTATTTTCACACATGGTACACATAACTCCTCCATTTCCTTTCGGCTTAACCTTAACTTGGCTTTTTTTTTTGGCTGACTTTTTAAATTTGATCACCATTTCTTCAATAAAGTTGTTGACGCGGAGAACTGGTCGAATGGGGAAGATCTCCCTACAGAAAGGACAGTCTGGTACTTTAGGCGCTTCGGTGTCCCAATGCTTTGTGATACAGGCCATGCAGAAGTTGTGTCCGCACAGGAGTGAGACAGGCTTCGTGAAGACCTCCAGACAAATGGAACACATGAAGTTGTTCTCGTCTATCAGACTCAAGGCTGATGCCATGTCTGAAAACTGAGAGAGAAAATGGTTAGTCAAATTTCTCTGCTATATTTTCTGTTCAGTAATATAAAACAGGGGAGTGTCCAGACAAGAGTAAACAAGTTTGTCAGGTTTTAAGAAAAAATTTAATTGAGAATTTAAGGGAACCGTATGCAAGAGTAAATTTAAAATTTCATATCAAATATATGGCCAGACTTTGTATGCTGATTTGGTTCTGAATTAATGGCCAAGTTGTTTGTTATAATTTGGTGGTTTGTTTATCAAAGTGATTATCCAGTGGGGTCAGTCCAGTCATTTTCATTAGTGAAATTCATTTGGTTTAAACCTAAAAAGACTCTCTCTCTCTGATCTGAATCATCACTACCTAAACCCTCAGCTTTCATATGAGATTTTGCCTGACAATATACTGAGAAAAACCTAAATGTGTCCCCTGTATGCAGGTTAAGGCAACCCAGGGTCAGTTGTGATTGTTGTACCTTTTGAAAACTTTAAGAGCACAGGCTACAAGGTTTTCTTTAAACCATACATTTATTCATTTGTTGAATACAAAAGCTCAAACTGAAAAATCCTTGTTATAATACATTATTACTGTGTTGTGTGTAAAATATGACTTTGTTGACAGCCTCCAACAAACTGCAACAAGCCCTCTCAGTGGAGTGGCACCTGCAGCTTGTTATGGCCACCTACTAAACAAACACAAACCCCCTCTGCTTTACAAAATGTTGACTTAATGAGTGACAGTTTATAAGAACATGTTTTAATCTTCAACTTCTGAATTAGAGAATCCCCATGAATTGATCACAAATATTGGTTGGGTTTCTTTGCCTTTTGTTTTTGTTTTGTTTTTCCGTAAGCCTTTTGCCTATGAAAACAATGACAACAAAAAGCTGAATTATTTGTTGAGGAGGCAGCCAAGTCATACATAAATATAAATCTTTCTCTCTTTTACAATCAGTTGTTCTGATTTAAACCTCAAATACAAAAATAATTGGATTAAATACTTACAGAACTTCCACTTTTAAGAGCTTTAGATAACACAAGCCGGTTCTTTCTTAGTTTCAGTTTTCAAACCAGCGTCAGCGCGTTAAGCCCCTCCCACTTCCTCATCTCATATTACAGGTTAACCCATTACTGTCTTTGGCTTTGTATGTGTGCTTGGTATTTTGGGTGCAACTTTATGATGTGAAAGCTTTGTGAACCATTGTCTCCCTTTTAGAATAGAAAATTACTCTTCCTACATACATTTAGTTTGTATATGCACATACAATTTCAGCACTACTCTCTATGTAAATGTGCAGCTGCTGAAGCATGGCTTGCCTTTATAAGGATCACTGGCTGCATCTATTAAGAGATAATGTAATTGAAACCGCACAGAATCTGCGACTATCCGCAAAGGGACAAACCAATATCCTATGTACTGAATCTAAAGTATGCTATTGCTCTATTTTCTCATCTCTGGGCTGAGGAAACACAAATATAACAAGCATACCTGGATTTTGGTTTTGTTTCATTCACACATGGTTAACACGCACATCCTGCATATTTAGGTCACTCTGTTCCACCTTGTTATGTCATGTGGTAATACAGGATGTGCTCTACCATGTTTTTAAACTCCATACACCTTCGCTAGAATCACTTGGATTATTTCAGCCCTGGAATTTTCAGTCTTTACCACAGACCGTATATATGAGTGAACACAGCTAACCCACTATCCGCTGTGTGGTGAAAAGGAAGTTCGCCAGGAGACTCTTCCGGCTCTTTCTGGCCTTGGCTCCAATTGACTTACATTGGGATCTTGTTGCCCCTCTCTCTGTAATTGCAGCAGTGAGCCTTGTCATTTTGGTCTTAAAATGTTCATATTAACCTGCTCTACGTGACCTTGAATTGAATTTTTTTTTTCACTATTTTGTCCATCAAAAAAATCCTATTCATGACTCCAGATTCGCTCCTGTAACTTTTGGCATCACGAGCCTTTGAGGGGTGCTGAACGCTATGGGTGAGGTCACACTCGCTTAGTCCACTTCTTTTATATAGTCCATGGTCTTTACTGAACTAAAGGTAAAATGCAGCTGTTAACTTGAAAACTACTACTACATGACATCACAAGAGCATTTTGGAGATGTTGACAGGCTAATAAGAAGCATGTGTGAATGGTATGGTATGTTTCTGAGCGGATATCAGCATTATAGTATGGCTTAAAGCTCTCTGCAATCCATTTTGTGTACAGGACTTTTAAATGGCAGCAGGGAGAGCGCTTATGTCTTACTCTAGTCCTGCCTGTCTGTTCAGCTTCAGCCTGCAGTCAGTCCCTTTGACACACCCATTAGCTCATTCATTTTTAAGCTTGACTTGAGCCAGAGTGATCCACCAGAGGCCTGTCTGAATGTTTCAGAGTGCAGTGAAGGACAATCCAGGCATGACCTATATCCCACTGTGACATTGCCTGAATGCACAATGAAAACTTTATGAAATTGTTTTGTGCAGAAATCGATGGCTCAGACAGAATGAGATATGACATGTCATAATTTCATTTTGTTCATTTGCAGTATCTTTTTAACACAAATAAGAAGAGGAGATCTGAGGCAATTTGAGGGGAGTTGACGGGGGGGACAAAGGAGTCTGTTGTCCCGAGCCCCAGGGGCTAAGGTGGCCCAGAATTGAAACCTCTGCCTATTAAATACTATAAGAGGGGGGTCCATGTGAGTCTTCTTACCCTGGGCCACAATATTTCTTTCAGCGGCCATGATTTACTCCCACTTCAGATATTTTAATGTCTCCTGAATGTATATAAAATGTAGAAAATAGTAAAAAAAAGAAAAGATTTACTTATTAAAAGGACAATGCATATTAAAAGACAAGATAATGCAAAAGAAAAAAACGTACAGGATTGTAGCCAAAGTTAATTTCCATCCTTAGTAACCCCTGCTGGACCAGCCACATAACTCACACTATTCATTTTGTCACATGATTTTACAATACACATTAAAAAAATTACAAATGTCTGAGGAAAAGTTGGATACTTGCTTTAAAGAACCAAGGCATGATGTCAGAGAAAAACAAAAAAATCAATGTCATCATTAAGGCCCAGAAAACTGGTAGCCTGCAAGGTGTCTTTTTGTAATCTGAAGTGTCTCCTCTGGACGTCTTTGTTTCTTTTGCGAGGACTTTGTTGCTCCACTTCAGGCCTGTTTACTCTGTGGGTTTGTGCCGTATGTGTCAGCCACGCTCGGGCTTTTAACAGAGCGCTGCTTTTACTCTTTTTTCCTCATCTCACCCCTGTCACCACTTTACACCCTTTCGCTTTTGCACAACTGCCAACTGTCTGACTCACAAAGGAGCTATAATCCAAGCCAGATTTTAGGGGGGAAAAAGAAAATGTGAAGATTGTAAAAAGATGGTGAATGAGATTTGTGTTTTGCATGTAAATCAAAGCAAACAAAACTGATAACAAACATTCATTTCCAGACAGATAAAAGGTAGAACTCTCTGGAGTGGCATGGACTGATGTTGTAGGTGCCTCCTGGATTCCCCCTGGGGAGATGTTCCTGGCATGTCCCATTGGGATGAGACCCTGGGGAGAACCTAGAAGAAGCTGGAGGGACTGTAAATACTTTGGAATCCTCTTACATGAACTGAAAGAAATGTTCATGGAATGGGAAGTCTGGGAGTCCCTGCTTGTTGCCCCATTAACAGCGTTCAAGATGAGCAGAATGTGAATTATGGGGTTAGTCATGAAGGTGACTAACTCCATAATAAATTTAGTCAGCCAGACCAGTGTTTCCCAAACACTGGGTTGTAACATCAGGAGATTTTTTTTGGGTCGCCTTGTCACAATCTGCATGTAGGTCTGCAATATACAGGGCTACATTTAATGTCCACATGGGCGACTTATGGATACCTTTTATTGCTGGTTCAATTACTGTTTCATTAATGTTCAATAATGGTCAAATCCACCTTTATTTTATGATTTGCAAATAATGTTTATAGACTTGGGTCATGAAAATTTTTGACTTTTAAAATACGGGTCCTCAGAAAAAAAGTTAGGGAAACACTGAGCTTGACTATATTATCACTATGATAAATATGTATTGCGTTGCTTCATGTACATGTTTGTAGATGGTCTAGTTTCAGGCTCTGGAAATGTGAAGTGCAACTTGGATGTAAACTTGACTTTTTTCCATTCATTTATATTACTAGATATTATTAGATTATTCAAAGACAATATCAGTACTTTTTATTTATTTATTACAACAACAACAATAATAATAATAATAACTTTTAGCAACAGTTTAATTCAGCAAAAACTGATCCAGTTTATTTATTTATTTGCTTAGTTTTTTGTTTTTGTTTTTCATTGGTTTCTAGTCAACAAAAATATAGCTTTCATGAACACTATGAGAAAAATATTTCAGTGTAGAAAACAAACACTTGAGTCACCCCTGTATTGTGACACATGGTCCTGTCTTTCTGCTCACCTTTTAATGCCAGTGGTTCCACAGCACTGCAGCAGCTCTTATGAAGGATGAGTGAGATCACAGATGACCCCACCACTGCCCTCCCCCTCCTCTCACTGTTTGATCTATCACACTGTAGGACCTCTTACGGTGCTGTGACTCTGCCTCAGTTCACCTGGGCTGTAAATAGGCCTGTCACAATAACACATTTGAAGCGTAAGGTATCGTGTATATAATACTGACAGTAGTTTATGCCATTAACAAATAACCCTGTATATTCTAAATGTGCAATACCATTTAACACGAGATGCAATAGATAAATAGCAGAATGAAATCATTTGTATCTAGAATGAGTCTAGAATTACGTTATTTAGATTTAGACTTAGACTTTATTGATCCACAAGGGAAAGTATTTGGACATAGTAAGTAAATAAGTAAGTAAAAAGCATAAATGGTATTAATAAATGAAAAACAAGAAGCACAAATAGTAAAGGACTGCTGTAAATATGGCATAATTATACAAATGTGTATGTATAAGTAAAATAAAATATAGAAATGTGGTAATACAAATAAATCTGGGCTATTAAGAGTACAGGAGAAACAGTGCGAAGATGAAATAGTGATTGACATGACATACCCTCAAAAAGTTATGGTTCCATTTTTCATATATTGTTGGTTTAGTACTTATTGGGAAAGGCCTGTAGCAGTTAATTTTGTTGCTCAGACAATTAATTGGGTATCAACATCAGAAGAAAACACAGAAACACACTGAATCAGAAGTTTTCGAAGTGACTGACTTATTTATTCTGCTATTATTATTATTATTTCCACAATAATAATAATTAATTTTTCTTAACCCCAGTGAGCTTTTGATCTCTTGAGTGCAATTTGTGTAATATCATAGAAATTCTAGTTTTAGAGCTTAGGTAGGTCTATGAATCCATTTGGAAAACATAGCTAAAATGACTCTTGGCAATATATTGATACAGTAGTCTACAATATCAGTATTGTATCACTGAATTTATGATATATCTTAACAGACTCCAAACATACCAGGGAAATTTGGACACAGCATCTCATTCAATGTTTTTGTTTTTCTTTCTTTTTCTTTTCTTTTTTTTTTTTTTTTTTTTTTTTTACTACTTTCAACATTTTATATGCATGCAGAAGAATCAAATCTATGAAGTAAGATATATGGAATTATGTAGCAAAGAAAACTGTAAATATTGTTATTATTTTTTACATTTTATATTCACATCCAGCTTTTACTTAATTAACAAAATTTTCTACATAATACCATGTATCTTATTTAATTTGCCGTCTTTTTGTATAAATGTGATATACTGTTTGTGATATATTTCTATTTTTACTTGTACTTTTGTGTTTACATAAATATGCCCTATGTGACACCAGTCTCTTGCTATTTTTGCTACTTATTTGACTTTATTATTACATTATGACATTTTTTTTTTTTTTTTGACTCTTTGTTATTATGTTATATTGTGATGTGTGAGCTACTGTATCCACCTCTTCAATCTTCAATAATTTCCCTTGAGGACTGAAGTTTGTCTAAGTCTAAAAAACGTTGAAAGAAGTAAAAATAATGGGAAAAACACGTAGATATACATTGCGTTGTG